AGAATAATATAATTTAATGTTCAGTAATACATATTAATAAAAAAAACCTAGCACGGCACAAGATATTTTTCCTCTATAAGAAAATGCTATGACCACAGCAACGTAAACCTTACAAAAATCGGTTTTGTATAAAATATCGTGTATCCAGCTCAAAAAAAAAATTTTTATGTTTAAAAAACTACAGGTAGTGCCGTGATTCGGAAGAAATGTTGAGCACGGGATACAACTATTATAGCCAACCCGATAGTTCAACAGGTTATTATTTCATAGTTATAGGTATGCGTTTACCTACAATAATATTATAAATTGATAATTGAAATTTGTAATGCAGCGTAAAAGGAATAAATGACATAGGTATATAATATAAATAATTAATATATAATATATTATTTTTTTTTTTTTTTTTAATTGATCCTGAGCCCGGCAACTGTGGCCATTAGCTATTAGTAGGTACTGTAGGTTTTTGTATTGATGGTTTGTAGGTTTTTGGAACGGTAGGGGGAACACGTGTGTGTTTGTTTTGGCAGAATTTCGAATGGGGCACCCGTAGGTTTCTGCCATGCCCCGGGGGTGGGGGATGGCAGCACTTGCTCTCCGGTCACCGCGACTTGTCCGGAGAAAAATGCCGCCCGGTGGCCGAGGATCGAACCGCGACCGGCTGCGTCGCAGCGGAAGAGTCAGACCACTCGGTCACCTCGTCCCCCAATATATTATTAATTAAGTTTTAAAATACAATTAAGTGTATATTTTTAAGCATTATTTAAGAATGTTAGGTTTTTCTAAGTTGTTATTAAAATTTGTCATACAGCTTAATATCAATATTAACTGAACAAAATTGAAAAATTGTGAAAACGATACAAAGAGTTCGACAAATTTGATTCTGAAAAATTCCAATTTGTTGATAAAATATTTTATCATCACTTTATATAATAATATATAAACCTATATCGTTGCTGTGTTGGAAATACGCGTTTATTCTGTGTGTGTGTGTGTGTGTGTGTGTGTGTGTGTGTGTGTGTGTGTGTGTGTGTGTGTGTGTGTGTAGTTTATACTGCAGACTATCGAATTATGAGTTTAAGTGGGTAAGACTAAACGTCAATTAAAATATTAAATAGCAAGCAGGTAAGTATAGCTATTATAGCTAATCCGGAAAATTGTAATAATAATTATAGTATATTATAGCTTTATTATTATGGTCAAACAATATTTAGTATGTATACACAACCGTCACATGTAGTATCCAAACCATTTGTAGTAGTTCATAGGTAGTCAGGATACACTTTGGATTGTTTAAGCAAAAACGAGAACTAGATTACGAGTAGACCACCAGAGTCCCACTAATAATTTCGTTCATTATTATTATGTTTATAATATTACGTAGGTATATTACTTTATTACATCGGCGATCGGCATGTTCCGTGGACATTACAGACAACTTTTTAGTCAACCTATGAAAGCATATTATCAAACTCCTCAATGTGATTAATTAGAATGTACAGACCATGTAAATCAACATACCTCTAAAGTATACAATATAACAATTAACAACTTGGATAATTTTTAATTACTTTGAGCACACTGCATATACGACTGTGAAGTTTCGCAACTAAAATGTTTGGAGTGGTACATGTTACGAATACCTACCTACGCCTAAGCTATTCAGGATGCAATTTGGCGTCGTATGCAGTGCGTGTATCGGTCGCATCCACACTGCTAAAATATACTATATGCTCACCAGTCACCACTGATAATATTTTTGAGTATATGACCGTGCTTCTTGTACCGTAAACTTGCATAATTCTTTTAATGCGTTCAACGACGTCGGGAAACGCGTGTTATATAGCTATAGCCAACAGCCGGAATGAGCTTAAAAATTACGTATACGTCGCGTATACATCACAAATACGCAAACGCGCACAATAATGCATTGGTACTTGTACTCAATTATTTATAATGAGACGCAGAGTATACGAATGCCCATCATACGAAACGACCAATGAAATATATAGTTCCGGGGCATCCTAAACTTCTTCAAAATATTACAACCAATAACATGATTAATACATTATTTTGAATGTACAAAAAAATGTTTTGATTTCCTTACGATTAATCGTATTAAACGCGTTTATTGGGATGTTCACAAGCCTATAATATACATAGATATGTACATTTTATTCAAGAGTAAAAGTATTTGAAGTTTTAAGCCATTTCAAATTCAAAATAAATGTAAGATAATGAAAAAATGTATATAACAAGGTATACAGGTATATTTTATTATAATTACATGTTATTATGGGCAACTTATAAAATATGTCAACACTACCTTATAATATAAGTTTTATAAAAGTATAGATACCTATAAAGAAGTCTTATGTTAAAAAAAAAATAGTACTGTAGTCTGTAATAAAGATAGATGAATAATATATAGGAATAGCTTTTGTGAATTAAAAGTGACAACAAGAAAAACCAGAAATATGCAAGTAAAAATAATATTATACGTTCTGCGCGATCGTCACGCGTTTGGCGATGCATCTATATAGACTTATTTTTAAAGCACCATACCTGTACATCTGATTTTTTCCGATAGGTCTTGAATATTGATGAAATTTTATAATAATCAATAAAAAAAAACACGCATCATCACGTGTTATTTCAACGAAAATAGAGAGTGAAATGAGTGAAACTTGTTTGCAGGAGACAGAACACTATAATACTTATTATACTTAAATGTACGGAAATAACGATAAATGTATTTCTTACATAGGTGAATACATGTGATTGGTGATTTAATTTTTTACCGAAAAATGTTACCAAATTCGAAAGAACACTATATTTTATTTGTCACAGGTTTGTCGCTAACGAAAAATGTGCTTGTAACTTTCAGATTTTTTACTAAAACAAGTTGTAGTATAATATTATATTATAATAGTCACTTTTGTTAATCGAAAAGTGTGTGAAATTTTATTCTCCTCGAGTGTATTCGCGTTTTATTATACCTACCCACTGACGATTGACCCCACAAAACGAATTAAATTATATGATTGAAAAATAGTTTCGAAATGTGTTTAATGTTTGGACATAAGTTTACTTATCTGCACAACAATAAGCTGAAATCAAGTTTTTCAAACATAAAATAGGTAGTTATAATATCAGGTAAATGGAAATTAAGCTTTTGAAAAATCATCAAAAACTTAAATATTTTTCAGAAATTATTCCACTAATATTGAAATACTTAAATTCGCTACAATAATTGGGTTATCAATACTTCATAGGACGAAAACATTAATTACTTTAAATTTAAGTTAAAAACGTATAGTTTAATATATTGTGGTTTCATAATTTATATTAAAGAGATACTCATAAAGTATTCCAATACTTTTTGTAAATAATAATATTAATTTAACGATTGGCGGGTTCGGCGTTATCGAGTCAAATTTGAGTTAAATTATAATAAAATATTTCTTTGATAAATTTTCTAACTTCCATAAGAATATATTTAGAGAACCTGGACATGGGTTGAAAATTTGAAATATTTTAAAATTTACCTACATGAATATTCGATGGTTGGATACAAATTTACTTAATAACACACACGGCTTGTGAAAGCATGTCTCGCACAAATTATTGGACAGGAAAAATGAATTTTGGAACAAAATTAATTTAAGTACAGTAATTAGAATAATTATCAAAAAATCAAGTTTAGTATTAAATAATTTTAAATGTTCAACTCTTACAGTAATTCATTAAAAAATTAAACTTATAATAAATTGTGTTATATAATAATTTTAAAAATAAATATAATTATATTTTTGAAATTATGAACAAATTATACTATGTATGAGAGTGGCTATCAATTATTAAATATATTTTAAACGCGAAAGGTTTTATAAGTTCATTTCAATATTTTTTACCATACATGAATCCTATACAAATTAAACAGGTTTAAATTTAAAACATGTGAATAAAGTAAGCTCAGAAAATCGTACAATTTTTATCACTGATAAGATATACTTTTAATATAAATTATTTCGTTTAAAGATCCAGTGAACACATACAATAACTTCGCTTCATAACTGTTTACCTTAACTTAATAGTGTCGCATTATACAAAGAAGTGACATGATATTGTATGCATTGTTTAATTATTCCTTTATAGGTAAGATGAGAGTATACTTCAAGAATTAAACAAAATATTATGATTATGATCGAATCTGTATATAATATTATGTGCACTTCAAAAAAACTTAACAAATTCAAAGACAAACGTCCGTATGTTTTTTAAATTTGAAAAACGTACTAATTTTTATACGCGGTTCTAAAAAGTAAAAAGTAAGATAATCATAATACGTTTAAATCACCGGAGAAAAACGCAGTACAGTGCGTATAAGTGGTATATTTCGTCGCGAGCGAGACTGAATTTCGTTAAATAAAACGTCGAAATACCAATATTCGATAACTTGAAAAATAAAAATACTGCAACGATGCCGTGTACATGCGTGCACCTTATAATGAACAATATCACAGTAACAACAAGATATCGTTTGAAAACTCGTCGTCGACTGCGTTTAGCACTGTCGTCCTCGCGCAAATGATCGGTAATACCGCGAAAACGCGAACTAATCGAGGAAGCAGCCGACGAAAATATGAAAGATGATCGCGCGTCCTTAAGCTCGGGTATGCGATAAACTTGTGCCGCCATCGCGTCGTACACTCGCTATCGTACAATTACGTGTATTACACAATTTTCAGACGAAGTCACATCACAAGCGATAATAATAATAATAATAATAATAATAATACATTTCGTATGTTCGGTGCGCCGCGAGTCTCCGCCGCCGTCCAAGTATTATCGCGCGCGTGAAAGTCATTCGCCTTCCGCAGTGATGGCGGCGCGGGAAGAAAGTGCGTGCGTACATTTATTTCGGTCTTCTTTTCGGGGGAGGATATGGTAGGGACAAACGACCTTGCCCCGGCGACGGCGAATCGACTCGATATAAAACGGTTCGGAGGTCTGTTACTACATGTCAATCGGCGACGGACTTGCAGACATCGTGGTGGCTCGCAACAAGTAAACACAATCAAACACTCAAGCACTGAACACGAAACATTATGGACCGCCACCAAATAGTGGTTAGTAACATACCTACATATACATATTATATTATATCATATTTATCGATTATTATTTACATTATTTACATAATAATATATTTAAATTTAAATTCATTCGTTCAATTCAATCCGCGTTTTAAGATCAACAGTAATTTGCATGCGTTTAAAATAATAAAATATCCGTCAGTTTTATATATTAATTTTCGTATTGTGCGATATCATATTATTACATCGAGTTTTCGGTTTTTATTTCTTTGTACGACGCCGTCACAGTGGTATACCTAATTGTAATTATTATCATTTGATATTTTTCGAAATCGTGCTTCAAACTAAAGTGATTTTTGTTTTACGAGAAGTACTCGTATCTGTTTTTATTTATTTTTTTAAGAGTAGTAAATATATATATATATAACAAACATTTAAGTCATGATAATCAAAGTTTTTTAAAACCTCTCATGCTATTCAAAAATCTCGTACCATTATATATTGTATACTTAGGTACACCGCATATTATACCACACTTACAATTCTAAATATCTGTTTATCGTGCAGACACATCTGAAGTGCAGCTAGTGTAGGTATATATATAGGATATACAGAACAGATATTATATATTTGAGCACCTACTATCTACAGTAACTCTGTGCAGCGGCAATCGCGTATAATTATGATTTGATTTCACATTATAATATATTTCTTTCGTTTACAATAGAATATCACGACACTATATATAATATAACTTAATAATATTTTTTTTCAAAATTTCTCTTCTTCTCGTTTAAGTATACCTACATACCTATATATAATTCTAATATATATATCCTCTTCGTGTAAACATCATTTCCCGAGATTCGTGCGAGAAGTATCTATATATGTATATATATATTTCGTACAAAATAATAATAATAATAATAATAATAATAAAGTAATAATAGTGCTTTATATTTGGGCAGGGCGAGCGCAGAACACAATAGTGTTCTAGCTGGTAAATTCCTATTATACTCTGCGCGCGCGACCGTTCTCACGGGTACTTTCCCGAGTGCTTCCGGAGACTTAAACGCCGGGGTTATAGTTCTCTCTCTCTCCATGGTACGTCTTAGTCAATAACATGACTATAATAATGTACTACGTTATTGGGTATAATACAATTTTATCGCGAAAAAGCATCGTCCCCTAGGTCTATGTGCAAATTTTGAATAACCTCAGCGAATTAAATATCCAATTTTCCACTAATTATACACGTCACATTGCCACATAAAATTCCAAAAATATTTATGATAGAAAATAACTACAGCAATGTTTTTGGGCCATTTTGTAAACACAGATACACATAGGCAGTAGTCTATAACCACCATTTGTTTATCTTAAAATTGCCTTTGTCATTAACTGGATCGCTATAAAAAAAAAAATCATAATATTTCCATTCGTACCAAACTGGTTTGCAGAAGTTTATTTTCGTTATTACATAGCATGTATGTATGCTGGTTAATAATTATAAATATATGAACTAGCGTGGGGTGATACAAGGAAACCTATAAACATATAATATTATAAATTTGACAGTTGTAAACGAGGGCAATTTGGTGGGACTTGATCTTGAGCATTATTTGAACGATTAATTTTGAACACGATCAGGTGCTTTTAGATTTTAGGTCAATGCGACTGGTTTGCCATCTGCAGTATGTATTTTCTATATAGGTTCGACCGTCGATCGATTGATAGTTCTGCATACCGGAAGTGCGTCTATGTATATAATATTATAATACAAACTCGGGTATATGCGCAAACATATTTCCCCCCAGGAGCAACATGCATTATAAACATATACTATGTTAACGGATCCACAAAATTGCCAATGATTTATATATATTTATATAGCTATGTAGTAGATGTTATAATATTATGCACACTAGCGTTATGTATATAGTATATATATATATATATTATATATCATACGTCATATGCGTTTATACTTACACAGAAACCGGGCTTCAATCGAACCGGACAAACTGCCGATATTCACAAAAAAACATATTCAAAAATGTTTAAAATAATTAAATTATTTTATTCCGAGATTCCTCCGACGACCGTATCCAATTATTCAAATCTTACATATTTTATCGATGTCATTATAGTCTGCACCGTCGCCACCCGCCGATATAAAAATTAAACGTATATTATAACAGTTATATAACGCGTGTTATGTGTTCGACTAGTAGTCGTCCGGATATAGACGCGATACTTTAAACCGTATACCTAATATTCAATTCAACTTTGCGGCCCACCGTTGCGTGTCCGAGCGATATAATATTACGAGCGCCGAACTTTCACCGTAAACATCAGATCACATTATGTCGATACGAATAAATAATATTATTATATCGGATGTAAAGTCGTTATGCAATAATAAAAAAACTGCGCGCAAAGAAGGGCGACATTGAAACCCGAAAAAATTAAAATGCATCGAAAACACGCGCTTCTTTTTACTCGAGATGCTTTCACCGGTTACGCCATACGCCCATATACAATTTTATTATTATTTATTACTCTCCGAATTTATTATGTTATGGACCAGATGTATACGTCACGTTTGGCCTGGGCTTGATTTTTTTCCAATTTTTTACAGCTGGTATAATATAAGTACAATACTGCTTTATACTATCATACCACTACCGTAGTAGTAAACCACGCCATACTATGAGACTCAATTAAAATACTTCTCCGATAAAACGTGCCTATACCTGCAGTATTACGTATAATATGTATTGGGATACACTTTGATCTGCAGATCTGTTTTTGTATGTATAGAAACGACTATAATAATATATATTATTGTATAGGTTCCGCACTTATGCCAATAGCTATAATATAATATAATAATTATTGTGTATATAATAATATTATTATCTTACGTAGCGCCGCCGCCAAGTGAGTATAAATTTCGAGTGAAAGTCGAGTTCAACTTTTAGTCGTGATTTCCGGATATTAAAAAAAACAGCCTCCTACCCGAGCGTACTTGAGAGTCAACTACTTATGCTGCTGTATAAAATATTTCCCTAGGACGTAAACCATATAATATGTAATATTACTATATACATTCACGCATTCGCGGAACAGTGAAAGCGGCAAAACGCGCATATATACTTAAATTACTATCTATATAACACAATATATATAATATGTATAATGTATACACTAAATATTTATAGATCCCGACGATGGGCATATATATATTTGTGTTATTTTATTTTTTTAACTCATTTTCTCTCCCTTCTTTCTTATACAGGTGTTCCTGGCGCTGTTCGTCCACGTCACACTCGTCTGGTCAAAGGCAGTCGACTTGCCGCAACAGCAAGTGGCCTTCCCAAACGACGACGCTTCATCGACATCGTCTCTCAAGCGGGACAAGAAGTCGCCGAGCAATGATTACGCTCAACCCGGTCTGCAGTAAGTAAACAAATTCGGTCGGCAAAATTATGTTTCGTTTTTATAGGTACCTATATAGGGAGGTATTATAGGACTAGTCTTCGGTACTGCAGTCCAATTATACTGTTCGCATCATAGACGTCCGCAAAAGCATATATCTAGTAGAAATATGGTATACATATCATTTTTTTTTTAATCCGACTGACATTTAGTGACCTTAAAATATGAATATCGGGAATTTACTGTAGCCTTCTTCCGGGACCATTTCGTTTTTTTCCTGTTATATTATTTGTTGTGCTCATTTTAAGCAAGCGTTCTACATACGCAAATCACGTTTCATCAAACTCGTTTTCTATGTTTATTTCGAAAATAGTAAATGAATAATAAACATACCTAAGCCTAATTCTAATAATTAAAATAAAGTGTAAACGATTATTTGAAATGGTTATTGGTTAGATGTTATAGACAGTAGAGTAAATTATTATAGACTACTTGTGCCGAGTGTGGTGATTACCATAAGTTATTATTCGTGTAAATGTCATGATTTCTTAATTCATACGAACTCGCATTTTCATATAATATAACCTACTCGCTGAACATTAAAAAAAATATGTATACTTATATCGATGTGTTATCCGCTGGCATCAATAGTAATTGTATTTGCGTCCACCCGTATAGAAAAAACGTACGTTCTCGCCGAACCTGTTAAGTAACGACTATTTTAATAAGATAATAGGTGGGTGTTTTTTTAATACAGCTCTCGTAATTCACATTTATCATCTCCTAGGGGGTCCTACGATTGTTCTGCAGTGCGTTTAAGTCACAATAATACAACCACGCGAAACGATGACGGTCCTTATCGGTTTTCGGCACAAAGAGAAATCCACGTGAAACTGATCCTCTCCTTAGACATCCCGTTTATTTATTTTTTTTTCAATTGCTTTTATTATTATTATCATAATAAATATTGTTTGGCGAATAAATTACGAAATGTATAGAGAAAACTGTGAAAAATCGATACCGCCGCCACGTACGACTTTCAATACGAAAACGATGACAATAAAAAGGATGACATGAGTACGTATAGGTATCCGGCACATATATAGCACAACTATGGCGCCGAATTTTCATAACATTTGGACAATGATATGGGAAATCAAACGCGGAAACCCTATTGTAAAATAAAACTCACGCGGAATATAGTTTGTTTTTAAAAGACTTTGTATTCACTATTCGATGATGAATAGGCGAAAGAAAGAAAAAAAAAACATAGGTGTTAAAGAAATTCACTACACATACGAACATGTATTGACATATCTCTACTATCACATAAGTATGTTAAATTATAATAAATCGTATGATACTAGTGTATACTCCGAGGTATGATTTTTTTTTCTATATCTGTATAATTATATGGCTACAGCAACGAATAAATAGTATAAATTATAAATATATGTATATATATGTACCTAACACGTGTGTCGTTTTATACTGTATATATAGGCAACCGGCAGTCGCACAAAGCCGCATCGGAGTGCCAGATCACGGTTATGGCGTCGACGATCACCACGACCACCATCACGAGCATCATCATGAGCCACTGAAAGGCTACTGGAAGAAGAAGCTCATCTGGAAGCCTGACTGGGTTAAAACATGGAAACCGGGCAAGAAACAGATCTGGAAGCCATCATGGAAGAAAATCTACAAGCCAATTTGGGTACCGACGAAGAAACAGGGTTGGAAAGAGGTGCATGTACCGGTCTGGAAAAAAATATACAAGCCCATATGGGTGCCGATCAAGGTGCCGGCCTGGAAAGAAATTCAAGTGCCAGACTGGAAGAAGATATACAAGCCAGTGTGGGTGTCCATCGACGTGCCAGCCTGGAAAGAAGTGAAGGTGCCAGACTGGAAGAAGGTTTACAAACCAGTGTGGAAACACATCGAAGTACCCGCATGGAAGGAGGAACAAGTGCCAGACTGGCATAAGATACACGTACCCGAGTTGGTCAAGGCGTACGTACCCGGATCTAAGCACCTAGGCAAAGACTACCACGGATGGGAATACGAAGCGCACGACCTGTGGAAGAAGAAAGTCGTATGGAAGGTCCACTGGAAGAAAGTATGGAAGACAGTGAAGAAGCAAATCTGGGTACCGTCCAAGAAGCTCGAATGGAAGGAAGACTGGGTGCAGGTGTGGAAGCCCGCGAAGAAACAGATCTGGGTTAAGGACAAGAAGTTGGAGTGGAAGGAAGACTGGAAGCAGATCTGGCGCACCGAAAAGAAACAGATCTGGGTTCAAGACAAGAAGCTCGAATGGAAGGAAGATTGGAAACAAGAATGGAAAACAGAAAAACACGAGATCTGGATCCCAGACAAGAAATTGGAATGGAAAGAAGATTGGAAACAGATTTGGATACCCGACTGGAAAGAAATTTGGCTGCCAGCATGGAAGAAAATCTGGAAGCCCGTGTGGATATCCGAATGGTTCCCGATAGAGGAACACCATCACCACCACGAGGAGCACCATGATTCTCATGGTCATGATGGGTACAAGAAAAAATGAAGACTGAATCGTTTTGAATAATCGCATCACAGACTACCCATGTTGTGTACATATAAATACTTTGTAAATATTGTTATTTTTATATATTAAGTTGTTAAAGTGTTTTATACTTCTTAGCATTAGCATTATTATAAATGTCAACCAACATTGGTTTTCATTGACGAATTCATTTATCGTGTTATTATAATGTGTACCCTATATAAGAATTACCCTTCGTCTTACCATTGAAAAACACTATTTTTTAAACCCTTATTAGTGTATTAAGCCATTTAAAATCAAAATAATTGTTTTCATAATTAATATTTTATATTGTCTTTAATACTGTAAAAATATATATGCATTTATATGAAATAATAAACTGATATGAGCAGTATTCAATTTTAAGCCTTTTTTATATACTAAAAAGTACCATCCTACCTACCTACCCAAATGACCTGAGCCAACCTATCTGTTTAACGATAACTATGGTCTATTTAGTTATTAATAACAGTTTTTGATTTATGATTTATTTTTCTCTATTAAAAAGTTGTACCTAATTGTTATTAAATTAAATCTCATATAAAATTATTTTTATGTGATAGTACTTAAATAATAGTAATATCTAATAATAATAACACAATAAATATTGTAATTTTTAATATTTATTATTAAATATGTGGAAAATTATGAGCACCAATAAAAATATTGAAAATAGTTAAGCAACCTTCCAATACAATTTTATGGGGCTCAATTAGATTTTTTCTCTTATCTCTACAAATTACTTCAGGACTATATCGGTTTACAGTTATTTTATTTAATTGTATAGTCGTACCTATAGATTCATGTATAATGTATATAATGTGCAGGTGTTAATTTATTATCAACGAAAATCTTTCCATTTGTATTATATACAATATAATCATTTACATTTGTCGTTAAAAGCCATTGTTATTTTTCTAGTATACTATAGGCTAATATTATTTCCGAGTATCTACATACTTGATAAAAAAAAATGAATCGATAAAACTCTAAGTTATTAAATTATTAATATCAAATACCGTAGAAGTGTTATACTTGAAGCAAAATTGAAATTGTTTAGAACATTAAATAGGTACCACCAATCAACATCTTCTTCGACTTAATGACACTTAAGATGATGTCAGATTCTTAGAGCTTTAGAGCACCTTGTCCTTCTCTCTCTGGCCCAAGTACAATGCAAAATTTATGTTTAGGAGAACCATCCACAGGCGGTTCTAGGGCTCAATTTTTGTACAGTCATAAATATATACTTATAAGTATAGTGCTGTGAATTTAATGCATTTACATGTTTTTTTGCTTTACCGAATACAAAATGGATTCAACCAAAATGTGTTATTAAGATGGTTTATCTATAGTATGTACGCGTTAACCACGTACGGACACCGATCGTTTAACAGGTAAGATACATTTTTGTATTTCAAACTGAATATCAGGCGTAAAAAATTAAACCCATTTTAATAAGAACTGTAATTATTTATTTTTTTATTTATGTAGATTGTAGGCATACCTACAATTTGTAATAATCACTAAATAGTTATCACCATAACTTACAATGCCATTAACATAGTATGGACTAAGTCATAAGATAGTCTACTATGTGATTCTGTCAAACATAATATTATTATACCCGCATATTATAATTTTAAAGTTGTTGAAATCGTGACTTACAAATGACAGTATACAAAATAAACTATAAATATTACTCACCGTAGTCAGTATAATAGGGTTTGTAATACCTCGAATGCTCAATTTTTAATTTTGTAATGAAATTTCCACTCTTGACAACTACTTCTTGTATAAGAAACGAGTACAAACTCGTTATTCATTACAGTTTTAAATGCACCAAGAACGCTGATTAATTAAAATTAAACCAACTGTATTCGAATTTCGATGCGGGCGCCCGTGCCCAATTTTTTTCAGTAATTCAACTCCTGTTGTTTTTTTTTTATCCCCCCAAAATACGACTTCTGATTGCCTACACAGTTTTAAAGATACTTTCCTAATACCGATAATAGTTTATGAATACAACTAATCGACTTTAAAATGGAAATCAAACATAGATTCGGAATTTACTGTTTTCGTGAACCAAACAATTGGGATAATGGTCAATAATCTCAGCCATATTTTAAGAATAATACCTTAACAATATAAATAATTAAATTTTTTAATTATGCGGAAAATCATTTATATTTCAAGTTACTATTTGTTTATTAATTATTAATTTAATATATTACCACGACAATAATCTACAAATAAAACAATACATTTTTATTATTTTATCTTGTCTATTTGCTAAAAATTATGATAGGTAAAATAATTTTCACTTAGTAATAAACTATAATAAAGTTGTATGTACAACATTCTTGATATTTCTCAAAGATCAAAAAAATCTTTATGTACTTCTAACATTTAAATAACTTTTTCTGTCTACATCATAATATTGTAAAGAAATAAAATATAATAAATGGCATTTTATGTACATTTAATTTTCCTCAAAGGTTGTAATAACATAATTTTAATTGATTAATGGTTTTAATTGATTCAAAAAACAATTTACAAATCACTGCTGATATAAATTAACACAAAAAGTTATAATTCAAATATAGTAATTATCTATCAATAAAATAATTCATACGTTATCTGAAAGTCAACATGTTTATGACGTGCAGTAGCTGGCATAACCCAAATTGTAACAACTAGAATAATTATTGTAAACGTTACAAAAATATTCTGAATAAATATCATTTTGATTTAATATAAGAAAAAAATAAAAATAATTCAAACGTTAAAAAATAAATAAAAGAAAATAATATTCCTCGATTTATTTTATAAGAGATCTATAATCCATACTCTATCAGCACAAAATTAATACAAAATGTTTTTTTATTCATTATACAAAAGAATAATATTATTCACCATATTATGTCGGAGTATAACACATTTATTATTTTTTGGACACTACTCAGGCGTTCATATACAAATTGACACATGTGTATATTTCAAAATTGCATATATATTTTTGTTACCTATTGAGTTATACTAATACAATTATCACTATATCTAGTACAGTTCCTGCATCGTACCTATAAAGGGGGATTTTTTTAAGAACGCTCATCCAGTTTTTATGTTTGAATCATGTATATTAAAATTCTGCTTTTTGAAATTTTTAAATACTCTTAAAGATCATTTTTTAAATTATTGAAATTGTTTGTACCACTTAAGGATGAACCTGTGACAATAAAATTTTTAGTTTTTCAAATAGGAACCTTCTTTTTTCGTTTTTAATTATCAAGCAGATTTTTTTTTTTTGAGAATTTTGATGTATCTAAATCAAAATTCAAGCTAGTAGTTTTTTAATTATGTAAAGTTATGTCTTACAGATAGTATGTTTATGGTGATGGGTTAAGTATATAAGGGTCTCAGACGATTTCAAAAAATTAGCAATTACTATTTATTTACCAATATTAATAATTTGTAAAAATGATTCAAGTTTCAATTTTTATACAACCGTTTTTAGGGATTATTATCATTAGTATAAACATTTCAATAACTTAGAAACTATACTCATTAGAATTTTGATTTAGATACATCAACATGTTCAAAAAAATCATCCGCAAAATATGAAAATAAAGCCTTTAGGTCTACTCAAAAATTCTAAAAATCAAAATTTGTAGAAATGTACTACTAAAAGAAAAAATAGTAAGCATGCTTAAAAAAATCACCCTGTTTATTTTATAAGTAAAATTGTGTTTACAGTAAGCCTGACCCAGATACGTATAAAAATAACATGTACAAAGACCATGTGTTTTTTTAAGAATGTTAGATAAAATATACACATCCCACATAATATATCTTATTTAAGTATTCCTACGACCACCATAATTAATCAAGTTTAATTTAATTGTATATTTATAATAATTTGTAAATTTGCAATACGTCGTACCTTCGTAAGTACCTATGTAAAGGTGCACATAGCTTTTTTTGATAAATCATTTTAATTTAAAAAATGTGTGTTATTTAATTTGCATATACTAATGGATAAACATCATTTTTGCCTTTTTTTAATTTCCTTCCTATAATGCCTTTACTTTAAGATTTTGAGTGGAGTGATGAATGTATTGATTTTACAATGATATAATATGTTTTATTTTTTTATTACTACAAGGTTAGTTGTTACCTAGTTGTAACGTAGGTATATGGATGTTTATTTACTGCCTATATATCTATTATGTATTTTTTGGTTCATGGTGTAAAAAATTTAAAGGTTGGTTTGTCCCTAATAAATAATCTTGTCATAACCCCAAAGTCGGGTAGACCTATTGTTTTAGGTCGAAATATGAGGATGAAGGACATAGGGATAATTATAAGACTCGCGACAGTAGTGTATCTAAATGGAATATAATACGCAGAGTTCCGTGTTCTGAATTGTATTTTTTTTTTTTTTTTAAACAAATTGACAAATACATATAACAGATTCGATTAACCTCTCTCCTTTAAGCTAGGCTTGTGATGAAGAGAGGGAGTTATTGTAGTTATAAAATGTAATAATAATAATAATAGTATATAATAAAATATAATATAATATAATATAACAAAGCGTATACTAATATGATATGTTAAAAATAATAGACTATGAAATAAAGTAATATACTGATAATAATGATAATATATAATATGATCTACAAAAGAAAAGAAAAATACATACATAAACATTTAACAATTATAAAAGCATAATACATAGTAAATACATTTAAAAATTTTTTTTTTAAATTAAGTTGTAACATTTCAAAGTTTTATAAACAAAGAAAAATGAAAATACTTTACATAGGTACATACCGCGATTTTCTCTAATTCCAAAAATAAAAACTTGTATACCACATATTTAATATTAATAGTAACACCCATTATCACATTTTTTTTAAATTCATACGGCATAGAATTAAAAATTGTCGGTCCCAGACAGTCTACATTAAAGAATAAAGACTGTCCAAAAGATTTATTGGTGTATATAACAGGAAAGTCATAATTTCTAAATTCTCTTTTTTTATCGAACTTATTGTAGTGATTGAGGTCTAACATGTTTCAATAAATGCATTATTACTATTTTTTTGTAAAGGTACCTTACCGGTAAAACACCAAATTCCATGTAATTTACTTTTGTAGATCCCGTAACAGTACATTTATTTAGACAAATTCTGATTATATTATTTTGATTAATTGTTAATGCATTTAGTATGTTATTTTTAAGGCCACCCCATACTAATATACCATATTGGAAGTTAGACTGATACAGTGCATAGTAAATTGTTCTTAATGTTTGTTTCGGCACCATACATTTAATTTTTACTAGCTAGCT